ACCCAAGCCCAGGGTCAACCCTACGTTGTTACGAGTAACAACGGGGGGTCGTACCTGGTTGAGTTTGTAGGAGGGGGGGTCGTACCCACTTTAGTCGCTCGAAATCACGTGTGGGAGTGAGGAGAAACCGAGATTCCGTGGGTAGTAGGTTGTGCGAGTAGAGGGCGCGCAAGATAAAAATTTGCCGTTTCAGCCGGCGTGTATATACCCCCCTAGAAAAGGAAACAGTGAGATTATAGGGAGAAATTGGGCAAATTGGTTGGAAAATTTAGGGAATTGTGGGAAATTATGGGAAAATTTTTACTGTTTCAGAGGGACTATATACCCCCCCCCCCCCCCCCCGCTCGACGGCATTTTTGGAGGAAAAAGTGGGCGGAGTTTTGAGGGTTGAGTGGTAGTGGAAGTTAGTGTTATAGAGAGGAATATGGTGATCGAGGTGTCGGAAGGGGGGTCGTACCAAATCCACCTTGGGGGAGGGGGGTCGTAAAAATTTTTCGAATAGTAACAACGATAGGGTTGACCCTGCCTCTAAGCCCTCCTCGAGGCTGCATCGGAAACTAGGTCCCCAGCAGGGTCAACCGTCACGTTCGCACATTTTCCGGATTTTTTCGACCCCTCTCGAGGGGGTTCCATTTGCGACCCTCCCCTGTTATAGTTCTTAAGAGTGCTCTCTGACCCACTCGACTTTGATTTATGATTCAGATAGACTAGCCAAAAGGAATCCTTACATTCTCCATCCTCAAGCTGGAGCCGAATAGGCGTCAAAGCTAACTGATGTTTGAGGGAGAGTGAAGCGTGGTCCCGCACGAAACAAAAATGAAAAGGAAGAAATGGACCAAAACATCGAAGTAGTAGCGGAAGACTCACGATAAGTGAGAGCGTCTGCGCGTCTGGTACGCGGCGTCAGCCTTGGAGCGCGGCAGGTATCACCCGGGCGCTGGAAGAACGGGACGCGGCGAAGAAAAAATTTTAGAGGGGAATAACTTTCTTGGGACGTATTTTTTTGACTTGTTGAGGTAGATTTTGATTGTGCCTGAGGTGCGCTTCCAGAAAACTACAAGGATTGCCTAACTCTCCGGAAAGTACTTCTGTTAAAAGTGGAAAACCCAAAATTCTAAGAAGGCGCACCTTCAACTTTGAAGGCCCATAAAATCTTTCGTATGCGACATTTTGGAAAGCTGTAAAAAGTTTCAGAAACTTCAAATATTTCTCTAACAAAACAGTATAAAAAGTTTAGTGATTGTCCCCTTTTTCAAAAAATTGTCCCGTTCGAACATTTTTCGTGCAAAAGCGAGTTTTTGGGCTTTCAGCGACCATAACTCACTTCATTTTCATTTCTGTGATGCACTTTTTTCATGGGGTGAAAGTACAGGATTTGCTCTTTCTAACAAGCTAACCGTTTTTCAAAGTTCATTTTTCGAGAAAATCACACGTTCGAACATTTTGGGGGGTTTTGCCGAACACTTTTTTTGAAATCGCGAGTTTTTGGGCTTTAAGCGGGCATAACTCACTTCATTTTCATTTCTGTGATGCACTTTTTTCATGGGGTGAAAGTACAGGATTTGCTCTTTCTAACAAGCACCAAACCGTTTTTCAAAATCCATTTTCCGAGAAAATCACACGTTCGAACATTTTGTTCCCATAGGTTTTTGAGCAGCACATGCGAGTTTTTGAGCTTTCAGCAATAATAACTTCCTTCAAAGAGCTTGTTGGGGAGGGGCGAAGACATTTTTGAAGACTACGAGATTTCTGCTTTCTTATGTGTTTTACCGTTGTCTGGAAGAATCGTCCTCAGAAAATTAGGTCCCGAAGAACTTTAATTTCAGCCCCGAGAAGTCAAACCTTTCATAGGGATGCATTCAACTGTTCTTTATTCCTCAAGAAAACACCGTAATTTGCCTAAAACTGTCTCTCTGTGCATAATAAATCGAATCTAATGCGGTCTGCACAAGCAAGTCTTGCCCTCGGATACGCCACGCACGCGCCTGTGGCTGGCATTTGGAAGTCTATTTCATCTTGCTATGACCCGGACTTGCTCAGTTTTTGGCACTGCTACGCTCTGATGCGACGAAGCGAGCTCTCCCTAAAAGCTTTGCTGAAGACAGAAGATTTTTTACGATGTATAGTAATTCACGCGGAGAAACACTTCAGGACGAAACGGCGAGCCTGGAAAGAATAATTATTTTGAGTTTATGACAATTTCATGTTCTTTATGAGCGTTCCTCCCCAGTCCTTCATCCGCCAATCAACCTTTTTTTGAGATCAGCGACGTGTTCCACTGCTATTCTAGACAACCAGAATCAATCGTGACTAAATGATCCGTACATGAGGAAAATCGACACCCCGTATGACAGCTGACTGTTCAAACCTCCACCCCCCCCTCCCCCTGACCCCGCTAGCAATCCATCCAGCACGATCTCTGCGTAGTATCGCCTACAAGACTTCTCTCTACTGCACTACCCTCCTTAAATAAATGTTGAAGAAGCTAAAGGATAAAAACCTTCGGGTCTATTCCAGTTAGAAGAGCATCGTGATGCAGTTTTTCCAGAAAGCTAAGGTAACTCCGAGCCAGGGGAGTGTAGCCAGTCTAGGGGTGAGGGCAGTCACTTGACATGCGTGAAAAGCTGGAATGTTCGAGTTCACCGAGAAACTGCATCATGATGCCCCCCTAACTGGAATAGACCCAAAGATTGTTCCATTGGGTATGAATCAATATATAGCATGACACCTGGCCATCTTCTTCAAAGCCTGCTATTTTTTTCAGGTAAATGCCAAATATCTCGGTTCCACCCTGATTTGAAATCCGACTCCGGTGAAGCAATGCTACTGGAGCATATGAATGTCTCATGCAAAGACTCATCCAATTTCATGATCGGTTCCGGTGAAATTGTGTGCGGTCAAAGAGGATGGCTATCCACGCCAATTTGTCGAAGTAAGTGTTTCGAGATTTGCTCATTGAACCGTACAAAAGACGCATTTCACGGGTACCTGACAGGAGGCCTGTCGCGCGGCGGAAGGCAGAGACGCAGGCGGATCAACGGACGAGTCGCAGCGCGTGCTTTGTGATGTAAATGTACTATGTGCGTTCGATTTTATTTGACGCGAAATCGCTGCAGTACGCGCTGCGACTCGTCCGCTGACCTGTCTGCGTCTCTACCCTCTCGCCGCGCGATGAGCCTCGTGTAGGGCACTCCGCATTCCACGCAGGTTAGTAAGTGGCCCCGGCTATGCTGTTTGAGAGCGAGGGAAAGAAGAAGGTGCGTGCGTGCATGGTCCAAAGCTCCACCCAATGCACTTCTTGCAATGACAGCGCGCTGCCCCGCCTGCATGCTATAGTGCATTTAAGGCAATTTGAGCCGATGTTAGACTTTGCGAATCCAGCGATTCATAATCGAGCACTTTGAACGATGTACTAGCGACTCGACAGCATGAGAGTACGGGAGTCTCTCACGCGCACGTTGACTCTCGCCACTTTCGTGGGCTTGCGAGGTCTTAATACAGTGCGTTTCAAAAGTATGTGCACACCCTCAAAATTCACGTTTGAAAGGGAACCATGAGGTTTCGTGCTATGAAATCCTTCTCAATCGATTTCGTAGTCGATAACCTATCAATGGAAGCAAAGCAGATAATATCGCCTCACTTTCGGAAAAAATTTTGGATGAAATTTTTTTCTTTGTTTCAAAAGTATGTGCACACTTGAAGAAGATCAGATTTTGGCGCCGAATTTTCCACCGATTTCAATCCGACTTTGCTGTTTTCATTTCGTCATCATGTCAATTCGCGCCATACTTCTTCCTGAAGATGAGCAAGCTCAGATCAAGGTTCTGCATGATAATGAACGTTCCAATCTAGAAATCGCACGATAACTTGGTCGTTCTCCTTAATGCATTCGAAGATTTATCTGGCACCCTGATAATTATACTCAGCACACACTCCGCTCCATCCACGATCCTTGACTGCTCAGAACAACAAAAGAGTAGCCCACATCCTGTCGGATTCTTCATTGACAGTCCGAGCTCAGATTTTTATTCCAGCCTCGAAAATGACCACTAAGCCCCTCATCCGCTCAAATGAATACACCACTCGACAGACGCTGAGAAAGGCTACTCACTTCAAGGCCCAGCACAAGTTAGCCACATTGGAGTCTGCTCGTACAGACATGGCAACATAGGATAGGACACCGGGCGAAGACACGGTTTTTCGAGAATTTCCTATTTTCAAAACAAGCAACTTTTATGGACTTTCTCTCCTCAGGTAATCTTAACTCATGGAAAGAGTTCGATCTTGACGGGCCGGGTGGATTTTGCTACTACTGGAGAGGCTTGGCCGTGAGTCGCTCGTGCTCTCGAGAAGGAATTTCGGAAGAGGCCCGTTGATGGGTCTGCGGCGGTTTCGCAATCAGCGGAAATTCAGAAGTTGCCGTTCCATTATTGCGTATGAACTGTAAAGAATACCAAGCAGTGCTCCAATGTCACCTGTTGCCCTTCCTTAGCGAAGCGGAGCGAAAATTGCATTTTTAGCAACAGGACCACGTGTCTTTCGATGCTTCGCAATCTACCAAAGAATGGCCTTAACCAAATGGTGCTGAAGCGATAGATTGGCTTGTGTGTCCTCCTTACTGCAACCCTATAGGGAGCCCTTGATCAAGGCGTTAACTTTAGCAACCGGCAGTATAATACCGCGGATGAACTGAAGGCGGCGGTAGAGGCTATTTGGGCCGACAGCGACGAAACAGCTATGCCAAACGTGGTTCAGATTATGCCGGACAGGATGTTTGAGCTAATTAGAAACTCTGGAGGCCCCACTGATTTCTAATCTCAGCTATGTTTTTGTCTTGTTAAGTGTGCACATACTTTTGAAACAAAGAAAAAAATTCATCCAAAATTTTTTTTCGAAAGTGAAGGCGATATTATCTGCTTTGCTTCCATTGATAGGTTATCGACTACGAGAAATCGATTGAGAAGGATTTCATAGCACGAAACCTCATGGTTCCCTTTCAAACGTGAATTTTGAGGGTGTGCACATACTTTTGAAACGCACGTATAGCGCGAGGGCATGAGGGCATGGGATAATGGCGAGAGTTGACATGCGCATAAGAGAGAGCCTCGCCCCTTTCCCAGGCTGTCAGTCGGTGGTACATCATTCAAACCGTTGGCGCATCGCACCTACTCACGATTCGCTAGATCCGCAATCTGATGTCGCTACCAAAGCACCAAGCTAACGTAGTTGGGAAGGGCCACGTGGCGACGCGGCGCTCTGATCGTCTGCTCATCTAAGGCTCAGTTTTAGAGGCAATTACTATTTCTCCAACACGTAGGCCAGTTCTCAGTAAATACTAGCAGCCAACGAAACCCTAAAAGTGCAGCCGAACAGCGCCGCGCTGCCACATAGCCCCCTCCAACTACGCCGATGTCAGACTTTGCGGAGTCGCTAGCGTCTGCGGTCGCGTCACGTCCGGCATAGTTCGATTGGCTGGTTCTGCAGCGCGACCGCGGATGCTAGCGAATCGCTCGATTCGCAGTCTCACATCGGCCTACGTTAGCACCAGCGCTTACCTTCGGTGGATACCGTTATGTTCCGATTCGGCCCTTCAGTATGTTTGCCCCAGAGCTACAAGATGATTGCTGATTTACAGAACTTCACTGTCCCGATCTTGAAGACATAGTATCGCCGTTGTTGAATTTGACCTACATTGGCGGAGACAAAAATGCCATTGGGACGAGGGTGGAATTCACATGTCGTAACGGTAAACGAGACGGGCCTGCACGCATCTTTTGCAAAAAAGGTAAAGTTCAAAATACTCACTTTTTAAATTCTAGTCTAGATTTCATGTTCCAGAAAATGGACAGACTTGCAAAAGGGTCTAAGTATGAAGGAGGATCGCGAGGGGGAAGGTGTGAGGATCGTGCCAATTTCCTCACTCACACCTTCCTTTGAGAAATGCCCCAGGATCACACTGGTGTGGGTCTTGCTCATGAATGTGAAAGTATTGGTGCGAAGTGGGCTGGCAGTAAAGAGAAAAGGAAGAGGGTCATCAAAAACGCCTGGGTCACGGGCTTGCGCTCAATCCTGATGCGTTTATGCTAAAGCAATGAGAGATTGAGCGCCGAGAGGAGAGTGTGGGGAGAGAGCACAACAGGTGAGAGGACGCAGGCAACAGCCTGCTGACAACTGACGGGGGACAGCTGCTGCAGCTAACTTTGCAAGACATTAGCTTCCTTCGATTTCCCATGCACTGGCGCACTCTTGAGGTGTTCCCGCGTAGGGTTCCATCCTTCACACCAAAACGGAATCTTCAACACACATTTACCGACGTTCATTATTGAAAGCAGATGCGTGCGCATTAATGAATGAATGAGGATGAATCTGAGTAATCAATGAGTTGATCGTATGGAACAAAAAAGCCATATTTTTTCTTCCCCCAGTGATTCCTGCGCTCTACGAGTCTCAACGTTGCCAATGCCACCAACATGGGGGTTCTGCCAGAAGCTTCGGCGACAAGCGAACACAAACTGAGGCAGGAAACTGGATATTGGGGGAGAGATACGGAGGCGTTCGAGGGGCGGGTAAAACCGCGCTAGGTCGCTACTAGCACCTTGCTCACCACGAAATCGCAACCCCTCGGTCCCTAGAAAGGAATCCTTTGCGGAAAATTCTTGAATGAATGTATCAGATGTGATCACTAGAAACAGTCACAAAGATTCACGCATGAATATTCGGTTTTCGAAGAGAAGTTACAAAAGCTACACTCTATGGACAATCGAAGGTAAAAGGCGCGCAGCCAAAAGCAGGGCATAGAGAGAGGTACGCCCTGGGCGGGTACGACTCAGTGAAAGAATTGGGTGAAGCCGCGCGATTTCGGAGAGTAGAGACAAATCGATCGATAGAATAGGATGGAGTAGAAGTGTGAGATGTGAATGCAATCAAAGCCAAAAGGCCAGAAAGAGTTCCTAGTGAGGGCACTCCAAGAACCAAGTGGAAGCATCCCCGTCGCCAGCATTTGTGAAATACGTACCGTGGCAGGATCGGTCCTATCGTTGCTACTCTTCGAAAAATTTTAACGACCCCTATCCCCAATGATGATTAACGAGCCCCCCTTCCCTACTGCCACCATCTACAAAATCATCAAATACGACCCGTTGCTACGTTACGCAACATAGGGTTGACCCTGGTCCGTGGGCACTTTGAACGCGTAGCAGCCCTTCGGGTTTTTCGAATTTTTACCGAAGCAAAAGCAACTTTTCTCTTCTTCTGTCCTTATCGTGTATGATGAGTCTCACCAGTGATTTATGGCTGACATAGAATCACGATTTTTCCGTGAAGGATTCCTTTAAGGGCAGCTCCCTTGACAGCGATGTAATATTGCTACCAATCAATCGCTGTTAAATTGATTGCGCGAAAGCTGACTCACGTATTTGTCATGACATGTGCTCTTTACGACCTTCTTTTCCTACAACTCCTTTCATTCAGACGGAAACTTTGGCGCGAAATGGTCAAATCCACCACCCACGTGCACAGTTTACAACAATGTCTCGCTTCCTCAGACAGCATCGAGTGTGACTACGAAGGTGGGAAGTAATCGTCCTCCATCTCAAGTGGAAATTGAGTACAAATTTTCACAGCACGAATTTGCTGCCCGGTGTCCATGGTTCACGCAATTAGGCTCCTTCTGCAAAATTGTTTCCGTTACCGCTGAAGCGGTGAATATGTGGGGCCGAAACCGGACCTAAAGCACATATGTCTGACTCAATGTTACCCTCCACGTTTGATGTCGATGCGCTTCTCCCTGGTCCTGACGAAGTGCTGGCAACTCTTGGAGATAATGGCTTATCGAGTTAGTGGCTGTGCACACATTTGCTCGTGCCATCACACGGAGCTGCAGCGGTACAAAAGAGGGCCATCGAGAACTTCGGGATGCCTCCTGGCAAATTTCGCCCACATCGGTGCACAGTCCACCCACCTACAATACCGCCACTAACTTTTGAAATTTCTCCGCTGAGCGACGGATTTGCAGCGTCGCAAAGCGTCGCCCCTTCATAACTCCCCCCAAAGCGGGTCAAATGATTGGTGCTCTACACCATTGGACTCGTCTCTCTGTGGCGAGTCTAAACTGTGTGGAAAACTACGGTACTCGCCGTAAAAAATCGTAAAAGAAATGCGAAAAAACGCAAATTCGCGTTTTTTCGTTTTTTCATTATAACTCGGTTCAAAATTGAGATTTTCAAAATCTGAAAAAAAGCATTGAACTCAGCTCGTCGAGTTCTATAAGAATATGCTTTTAAACTTCTAGAAAGCCCCACTTCAGATTGCGCCATGCACTCGAGCTTTGGCTCGAGAAAAAATTTGTTTGAATGTGGTGCGCATATAATCCCGCTTATGCATCATGATCGTTCTTCAGAGAGATGGGTCTCAGCAGTTGCTCCAGAACGCGCCGCGTATTCAACATCGTCCATTGTATTGTGAATGGATCGATTGCTTTTTTTCCAGATTTCATGGTCCCTATTCCACAGCGGCGCGTTAAATGACTTAACACGTACATGACTGCGCTCAACATCTCCTCCTCTCGTTCAAATGGAAATCATAGATCAATTTTTCAGCAGGACAGTTAGCCTATTTGGTGAAATTTTCCAATGTTTGAGCGAAGGTTTTTCCGAAATCTGAGGAGGTAGCGGGGAAATTCTTCACAGTTGTAGAGTACGCTTACTTGTGTGTAGAAATAAGATGACATGCTTGCTTGTAGACGAGCGCTTCCGCCGTGCTGTGGCTGTGAAAATGCCTCCTCGTCATGCCCTTGTGAAAAGATCAGATTTGCATTTCCAGATGAACTCGCAGAACTGAAATGTGCTCCGTTAGATTCACCGTTTTCAGCCTTCCCCTATTGCCGATTGGGCATCATTATTCCACTATTACTGCCCCAAAATCTCAAAGTTTCATTTTTCGTCGAAACTTTGCCTATTGGGGTAATTCGATGCCCTGATTACGAATATGACATTCATTCGTAGTGTGGCCCCAAACATCACACCTCGCCCCATTTTTTGCGACATGTTCCATGTTTAGAGCAGATGTTATGTAGAAAGCTGTGAAGGCAGCGACGAATTTCCTTTACTGTCGTAGACTACGGTCACTTGTCTGTAGGAATTACATAGAAACCTTGGTGGCAGGTGAGTCTTCCTTCCGTAGTGTGACCCCAAACATCACACCTCGTCATGCCCTTGCGATATGATCAGATTTTTTTTGGTTCTCCAGATGAACATAGAAGACTGAGATGTGCACCATTCAATTCCCCATGAAAAATACTGTCGAACGGTATACAACTCACTTTCTGGAGAACATCTAGTTTACCTGCCACTAGATCCATTTTGCACCGCGCACGTGAATAGCCACGTGGGTGGTGCAAAATGTATGCTAAGACAGGCCAGGGCTGAGGAAGGCGATCGGCGATAAGGAAAAGGCCGAAAACGGTGAAAAACGAAAGTTTCAAGTGGGAACTGAGATGTATATCGTTCGATAGCATTTTGCATGGAGAATCGAATGGTGTACACCACAGCTCCGTAGAGCCACCTGGAAGACCAAAAAATCTGGTTTTTATTTCAGGGCATGACGGAGAGCGATGTTTGAGGCCACACCAGGGAAGAAACACTCGCTCAAGCCCGAGTGTATCATCTTTTTCCAACATACAAGTAAACTTACTCTACGATAGGGAAGAGAGTTCGTCCCTCCCTTCTCGAATTTCCTCAAAACATCCCTTCGAAAATTGGGAAATGTCACAAAATGGATCTAGTGGCAGGTAAACTAGATGTTCTCCAGAAAGTGAGTTGTATACCGTTCGACAGTATTTTTATGGGGAATTGAATGGTGCACATCTCAGTCTTCTATGTTCATCTGGAGAACCAAAAAAAATCTGATCATGACGAGGTGTGATGTTTGGGGTCCACACTACGGAAGGAAGACTCACCTGCCACCAAGGTTTCTATGTAATTCCTACAGACAAGTGACCGTAGTCTACGACAGTAAAGGAAATTCGTCGCTGCCTTCACAGCTTTCTACATAACATCTGCTCTAAACATGGAACATGTCGCAAAAAATGGGGCGAGGTGTGATGTTTGGGGCCACACTACGAGAATGAATGTCATATTCGTAATCAGGGCATCGAATTACCCCAATAGGCAAAGTTTCGACGAAAAATGAAACTTTGAGATTTTGGGGCAGTAATAGTGGAATAATGCCCAATCCGGCAATAGGGGAAGGCTGAAAACGGTGAAAAACCAAAGTTTCAACTGGGGAAGTAATGCATATCATTCGATAGCATTTTTCACGGGGAAATAACGGGGCACATTTCAGGTCTGCGAGTTCATCTGGAAATGCAAAAAAATCTGATCTTTCCACAAGGGCATGACGAGGAGGCATTTTCACAGCCACAGCACGGCGGAAGCGCTCGTCTACAAGCAAGTATATCATCTTATTTCTACACAAGTAAGCGTACTCTACAACAGTGAAGAGAATTTCCCCGCTACCTCCTCAGATTTCGGAAAAACCTTCGCTCAAACATTGGAAAATTTCACCAAATAGGCTAACTGTCCTGCTGAAAAATGATCTATGATTTCCATTTGAACACGAGAGGAGGAGTTGTTGAGCGCAGTCATGTACATTT